ATTTCATTAAATGTCGTTACACTAATCAAAAACCTTTCTTATCTTGAAAATGAAACCAAACATATATATTAAGTCTTATTATAAAATCCATCAAACATGGAAAGCTCTGTTAAAACTTTTTTTAATTCATGTTCAATTTACAAGTGTTGTTGTATGAAAAGCTTTGCCTCTGTATTGTTTGTATCCCCCTGGCGGCGTTTTTTATTGATGTATTGATTTGTATTGCACCCACGTTTGACTTAATAAAGGTTTCTAAAAAAAAAAAAAAAAAAATCTGATAGTGATCGGCAGTTTTCCGTTGGTTCCGTAGTGATCGGCAATTTCCGCGTAGTGATCGGCGGTTTCCGGCGGTTTCCGGTAGTGACACATCCCTCACACGGACGATCTTCGGCTGCGGGCGCGCTTACCCTCCCTGTCAGTTCCGCCCCCAAAAGGGAAATGACCGGCCGGTGCAGAAGGATGGGCGTCCGCGAAGCCTGTGGGACGCTGTGGTTTGTTTACCGTTTAATTTTAGAGCAGGTGTCCGGCGGGGTGGGTGGGGCGCTTCTCTTCGGGCCGGCAGATGGACGGTAACATGGCCATGCCACCGCATGCCGTACGCTTCTTGAGGTCCGGCATCGAAAACCCGCATACTTCATGGTCCGACGCAGCCAGAGCGCCTGGTCCAAGAGGGTTGCGGGGATTCAAACCGGCCGAGGGTGAGACGGCGTGGGGGTTAGCTCGATATGGCTTAAAGCTGGTCCCCCCCCCGGTAGCTGCTGGAACCGCTGCCGGAGAATCGTGACCAGTTACTGGGGGTATACCCTTGGCAAGCTAGTGCGGTGATAGCTAGCGGAGCTTCCGACCAACTCATTATCTATCTCCTCTCTCTCTCTCTGTGTGTGGTGTGTGTGTGGCGTTATAGCCTTTTGTTTTCTTTACATTAATCCTAATTAATGGAACTCAATGTTCGGTGTGTTTGCAGTGGTCTCTGGTGGAGACTTTGTTAAAAATAAAAAGTGGAATAAAGTAAGGAGATTGCTCTCTGAGCGCCTGCTGGTGCTGCCACATGTCGGTGTACGTTGGAAGTTTTAAAGGGTTTATTCTGATCCCCACACTGAGGAGGACACAGAAAACACACATTAAATCAAATACAAGATGTAATACTAATAGAATATTGTACTGTTTTTATACACAGGAGGTGTTAAAATACCATATAATATAATGTATAGACTTATAAACAGGTGCTAATATTATTAGGACTTCAGTTAATACCCCTTTCTAATTATGGGACCAGCTGCTAATATTACAATATTAATATTATTTCCCCTGTTTGAATCCTTGTTTATATTAGCTTTTGGTGGGAAATAAATGGACCAAAAATGTGTTGGAAAAGTAATATAACTAGTCTGTTTAAACAGTTACTGTTGCCAGGGAGTAATACAGCTAAAGTAATAATATTAATTTATCTTAAGAATAATGATCCTAATCCTAGTAGTTTAAACCTTCTTAAAAAAAACTACTCCTTTGAGTATTATTGCGATGTCGAATCATTGAGCACATATTACTGTTTCTTTTTTTCTCAGTCGTTATATTTTATATTGAGCAGTTTTAATTACTTTTGTCTGTTTTGATCGTGTAACTTCAAAAACTTTTTGGATTATACGAGACAATTAATCAATTATTAATTAAGGTCGGTAGAACATTAATATGATTTGACAACAGTTATAGTTTCAGTCTTTTATCAACAAACACCAGAAAAATTTAGCTTCTTGAATGTTGAGGAGATTTGTTTTTATATCTCAGAGAACTGCTGATGTTTGATCTTAAATGTGAATTAATTGCCAGTTAAAATCATTAAAACTAACGAACAGGACAAACCAGTGATCGTCTCTCTGCCTCTGTGTCTGAATCACAGCTGCTCGCTCATAACCTTCAACCCCTGAATGTGTCGTGTGACGTTCAGTGTCCCTCTCTTTGTGTCTCCCTCTGTTAGAACCACGGGAAACACAACACAGGAAATGCGAGCGGCCCCTTAACGCTCAGCCGGTCGAAGCCTGTGAATCGTTCGCCCGGGCTCAAAAGTGGTACGATTCACCTTCTCCACCTGTCTCAACCCTCCGTCACCTGTCTCACCTCTCACCTGTCTCACCTTCTTCCCCGTCCATCTGTCTCTCCGTCATTCTGTCTCAACCTTCTTCCCCTCCGAATCACCTGTCTCACCCTTCTTCCCCTCCGTCATCTGCTCTCCTTCATCTGTCTCACCTTTCTTCCCCTCCGTCATCTGTCTCACCTTTCTTCCCTCCGTCATCTGGTCTCTCGTTCATCTTGTCTCACCATTCTTCCCCCTCCGTCACTTGTCTCACCTTCTTCTGTCTCACTTCTTCCCCTCCGTCATCTGTCTCACCTTCTTCTGTCTCCACCTTCTTCCCCTCCGTCATCTGTCTCACCTTCTTCTGTCTCACCTTCTTCCCCTCCGTCATCTGTCTCAACTTCTTCTGTCTCACCTCTTCCCCTCCGTCATCTGTCTCACCTTCTTCCCCTCCGTCATCTGTCTCACCTTCTTCCCTCCGTCATCTGTCTCACCTTCTTCTGTACTCACCTTCTTCCCCTCCGTCATCTGTCTCACCTTCTTCCCCTCCGTCATCTGTCTCACCTTCTCTGTCTCACCTTCTTCCCTCCGTCATTCTGTCTCACCTTCTTCTGTCTCAACTTTCTTCCCCTCCGTCATTCTGGTCTCTCCGTCATCTGTCTCACCTTCTTCCCCTCCGTCATCTGTCTCTCCGTCACCTGTTCTCACCTTCTTCCCTCCGTCACCTGTCTCACCTTCTTCCCCTCCGTCACCTGGTCTCACCCTTCTTCCCCTCCGTCACCTGTCTCACTTCTCCCCTCCGGTCACCCTGTCTCACCTTCTGTCAGTTTTTACAGTGAACGTTTCAGTAATACGACAGAGAGAAAGGTGAAAGTGAAGGTTCACCAAAGTATCACATTTGCTCTTGTTTCTAAGTTAAAGTAACGGAGATTATTGTTATTAAAGGATTAGTGTTGTTTTATTACAGTAAAGTAAAGATTAATGTTGTTTTTATTACAGTAAAGTAAAGGCATTAGGTGTTGTTTTATTACAGTAAAGTAAAGATTAGTGTGTTATTACAGTAAAGTAAAGATTAATGTGTGGTTATTACAATAAAGTAAAGATAGGTGTTGTTTTAATTACAGGTAAAGTTAAAGATTTAGTTGTTGTTTTATTACCAGTAAAGTAAAGATTTAGGTTGTTTATTACAGTAAATGTAAAGATTAGTTTTGTTTTATTACAGTAGGTATCTTACTGTCCGGGCTCCTAAATTAGTCCAGAAAAAGTGTTTCTTTTCCTACATTTAGGTCTTTAAATCCCTTTATAATACATCCAGTTTAGTTCTTATTAATCCTAGTTTTGGTCGACATCGTATCAACCGAACTCATTATTTGCAGAGAAGTCGGGACAGGTGCAGCTCAGATAAATCGCTCAGATTGGTAAACAAACCAACAGTTTATTCCAGATTATCTGAACCGACTTCGTCTGGGAGGAGAAACCGGCCGATAATCCCTCCTCATTGTTACAGGGAAACTGTGTGTACGGGTGAGTACAGTGGGTCAAAGTTAAATTCAGGGAGTGGTTGTCTGTAAACTGCGACGGATGTTACGGAGTCGTAATAAACTCCATTTTCCTCGGGCATTGTAACACTGTTTCTGCTCCCACTTTTGTTCTGTTTATGCTCCAGTAAATAAAAAGTGAAGAGACTTTTCTTTTTCCCAGTGTTGAAATACACAATCACGGCAAAACTATGTTGCACGCGAACTGTCTGCTGGCAACGTCCACAGGCGCCACATACTTTCTGTGCCGTGATGAAAGTTGTTTAACGTGCAGGACGTTCGTGCTTTAATGTGGCGTTGTGTTGGCTTTGTCGCGTCCAGGTGGATTGACGCTCAGAAAAAGGCGACTTTGTTAGGCATCTACTTGGACACAAGGGGCACTGTCCTCTGATTGGCTCGGACAACCCCCTCTGACATTGCCCGTGGCCAATCAGAGGTGAGTGTGTTTGGTGTGTGTGTGTGTGTGTGTGTGTGTGTTGTTTTGCATTTTTAATGAGCGACTGTGTGTTTTTGTGTTTTCTACTCTGTCTTGTGTGCAGAAAGTCTGGTAAAATTACTTTATAAAGATGTTTTCTGTGTTTCTCTTTGTATATTCTCTGTGTGTGTGTGTGTGTGTGTGGTGTGTGTGTCTCTGTGTGTGTGTGGTGTGTGTGTCTCTGTGTTTTGTGGTTGTGTGTGGTGTGTGTTTGTGGGTGTGTGTGTGTGTGTCTCTGTGTGTGTGTGGTGTGTGTGTGTGTGTGTGTGTGTGTTGTGTGTGTGTGTAAGAACTGAACACTGTGGGAATGCATTTTTAAAAGGATCCTTCCTCTCTTTCACTGGTGTGTTGCCACTGGCGCAGGGTATTTCCCCGGTGTGCAGCGCAGGAAGAGTTTAACGTCTCGGGTTAGGATGCGGCAGCTTAAGCCCTTTCCTGCTGTTTTCAGCAGCAACGCACACAAACGGTCTTTTCCTCGGAGAGACTCGCAGGTGTGGCCTGCTGAATTCATCTTGTTAAATACTTTAATAATTTCCAGTCCATCCCTGCTTTGTGTCTGAAGCCGAGTTCAGTGTTGTGACCTGTCCTGACGCTCTGACTCTCTTCTTACGTTACCTGTCTCCGTCTCTCTCCGTCTTCTTCCTCACCTCTCGTTCATGCCTCCAGGTGTGTTATGTCGGGGGGGCAGATGTGGAGGTTGTACCTGTCCCAGGTGCACGATGGGAGTGTGGTCGTCGGGCTTCCGGGCGCTTTACGACGGAGCGGCCTGCTGCTGGATGTCAACACTGTGATAGAGGAGCACCCCACTTCCAGGTTACACACACACACACACACACACACACACACACACAGGTAAGGTACGGCGGTCCTGGATCGGACCTGTGTTGAACAGAATACCTGTTGTTTATGTCTCCCGGTTCTCCTGCAGGGCCCACAAGGCGCTTTGGCACCCAGAGCGACTACTTTCCGGTCATGTTCACAGCCGACATGCGAGAGGAACCAGGACAAGATCCACGATGGAAGGGGCTGACAGCCGCGGGGTTCGCGCACATTCTCCGGTTCATGTACTACGGCTCCCCTGGAGCTCAGCATGCCGCAGTGGCCGTTCCAAAGATGCCTTCAGGTATTTGTGCTCAGTTTGACCAGGACTGATTATCCTCTCAAACACACTCTCAAACACTCCTCCTCCTCCTTTCCTCCTTCCCTCCTCCTCCTCCTCCTCTCCCTGTCTCCCGGCAGGGCGGCCATGTACGTCCAGCTCACGGGCGGGTGGGGATTCTGCTGCTCCTTCCTGCTGGCCAAGATCTGTCTGGAGAACTGACTGCGCCGAGGTCATGCGCCTCCTGGAGGACTTCAGCGTGGGCGTGGAGGGCGTCCAGGAGCAGCTCGACAACTTCCTACTTGACAACTTTGTTCCCCTCATGAGCCGACCCGACTTCCTGTCCTACCTCAGCCTCGAGAGACTGCAGGTTCGGTTGTCGTTCGTAAATACAAACACTTTCTGGAACGTTTTCACTAATTAGTCGGACAATTCAGACATTTCAGAGCTAACAAACGTCTCCGGCAGACAAACCATGACACATTCACAGGTCAAACAATGTCTTTCTTTCTCCAGGCGTACCTGAACAGCGACGCTCTGAGCCGCTTCCCAGAAATCGAGCTGTATGAAGCTGTCCAGGCGTGGCTGCGACACGACCGGCGGCGCTGGAGGCACACCGACACCATCGTCCAGTCCATCCGCTTCTGCCTCATGACTCCCGCCAACATCTTTGAGAAGGTGAGTTTCTGCTTCCTCTTCAGGCAGCTGAGGGAGTCCGAGTTCACTGAATCCATCTTCCGTCCTCCTCTTCCTCCTCTTCCTCCTCACAGGTGAAGACGTCAGAGTTTTACCGTTACTCCCGGCAGCTGAGGCAGGAGGTCGATCAGGCGCTCAGCTACTTCCACGACGTCAACCAGCAGCCTCTGGTGGAGACGCGCTCCAACCGCATCCGCTCCGTCCGCCCGCAGACCGCCGTCTTCAGGGGAATGATCGGTCACAGTATGGTCAACAGCAAGATCCTCCTGCTGCAGCGGCCGAAGGTCTCTGCTCGCCTTTCTGCCTACGACAGCACGCGTGATGTTTGTTCTTTATAACTGTCTCTGTGAATTCCAGTAGACTTTCAGTCACTGATCTTTTTAGGAGAGGGCCGACGTACCTGCAGTTAGAACAGTCATTGGTGAAGGACTGTACAGATGTTTTTATGTCATTACTGTGGACCATCCAAGTAGCCGTTTCTTTAGTTTGTTTGATTTATTCGTTTGAGCCTTTTCGGGGTGAAGTGGCTCACAGTGCTGTGTGTTCAGACGAGGCTCTTGGGTTTTACTGGAGCGTTTATAGGTGTGTTTAACGGTTTGTATCTCTAGATATCTGTAGATATAAAAGACTCAGTCTGAGGTAACGCTAATGAAAACATACCTATGA